GTGAGAGTTATTTGAAAATGAGACTTTTCAGCCTGGATGATTTTGAATTCTGGTTACTACTAAAATGCTTTATTACACTGTTCTGTTTTGTGGTGGTGGTTTTTTATTTATGCAGCCTAATGGAATAACTCCCTCTGGGCATCAGTATTTCAGAGAAGAATAAAACTTTTTTTTTTTTTCTTTTTTTCTCCCAGGGAGGTTGGGGGGGGGGAAGGGAAGTCAGAAAAGTTTTTTGTGATATGAACAGGCAGAAGCACTAGCCTACAGAAAGGATATAATAAGCTTCCACCATAAATTATCTTCCATGGACATTATTTGTTGCAAGAAAACTGTTCAAAGTCACAGCTGCTCTTGCAATTGCCTAACAAATACAAGTCAAAATCTCAACTTCAGAGGCACAACAGCTATTTCATAGCTAAACAAACCCAGGCTAGGCCACTTGGGCTGCAAAAAACACCACTCAGAAATCCCAGCATGTATAAAGATTAAGCTGTGTCTTCCTTGAAAACTTTACAAGTGATTTTTTTATTTTTTTATTTTTTTATTTTTTTGGTTTTGATCTATCTGTCAAATAGCAACTACCTATATGCCTTTTTGCAAACAGAAACATACATCTGTGTGGGTGACTGATAACACAAGAAAAGCAGTTTCTGTACACTGGTTAACATTAGGTTCCCACACCTTAAATACAGTCATTCTGCATGTCATCTTCAGCAATATCCTGATGGCAATAAGGGCCAAACTATGCAAAACATTGCTGGATTAAGAATATTATTTGCAAGATATTGGGTTTTGATCCACGAATCTGTAAAACCACATCTAAATTAAATGCCATATAAAGCTAAGAGTTACTATACTTGCCCGTTCACAGCTCTATACTTTTACACACATGAAGTTTGCAGTTTTATAACAGTGCAAGAAGCAATTGTGAGTTTTAAGGTCATGCCTTTGTACTTGTTTATTTACTTTTGAAGATCGAAACCAACAAATAATTGAGAACACTAGCTAAAAATAGCATCTATTGAAAGACAAATCTAGAGTCTTTTACAGCTACAAATCTTTACTACATACCTCAATACAGATTCTTTTTCTCAGAAAGGATCAATAGCCTGGCCACTGTTTTAGCACAACCCCTTCTTTCTGCAGAACCACTACTGTTCTGATTCCGAAAATCAGCAAACTGCTGTGCACATAAAAATACTACCTGCAATTCAACTGACAGGTAAGTAATCTTGGTAGCTTTCCTGTCTTTTGCTGAAGAGTATTTCCTCAGACCTCATCTCCCTTTCACTTGACCAAAATAGAAAGATTAAGGTAAGCCATTTACAGCCAGGAATACTAACGCTTATTACATGTTATTTTAAACTAGCTACACTGAATTTAAAAACGTATTCAGAAATTATGCCAATGGCTTTCAGCAGCAACATTTATGCCTCCAACAGCTACAGTCTGTGCATTTTCTCCCTCCCTTATATTAATGTGTTTATCCAACCATAATTCCATTAGTATTATGTAACACAGACAATCTTCTTAGGCATTTTATCACTACCTCACGCCAAAACCAACCTCCTGCACACGTACACTTCCACTACAAAACTGTTACCTTTCTAGACTTTGCTGACATAGAAGGAACTGTCTGATGTAGAACTGAACTGACGCCTTCAACTGCTGAGCAGATCTGACTGTATCCTTAGCCAAACTCTCACAAAACAGAACAGCATCACCACTGGCCAATGCCATCTTTTCCTTATTAAGCACTCATGACATACTAACAAGTTATTTTGACAGTTGTGATTCATCCTTTAAGAAAAAAAGAACATTAAAAATACATTTAATGTTTGTCAACTGTCTATCTCTCTTGCATGTCAAAGACAGTAAATACTATTTGCAGTTCTGTCTGTAATTTGACATTAATTCCTTAATCTTCTTAAGTCAGGACAAGCTTGTAGATCATTACGAGGTTATTTAGAAGAGGACATTTGAAGTATTACATGAAGTGCACATTTTATTAAGAAAACAAGTTAACTCAAGTTTTGTACTTTGTTATTCACACACCTGAAAATAAATCAGTCTCCTTTGGAGAGCAATAAAAAGATGCACTCCGAACTATTATTGCTACGTAATCCTCTTTTGCGTGGTACAGTATCTGCTAACAAGATTGCGTAGCTTTCACATTGGATCAGCAAGACTGTGACCTTTACTGACAGTTATTCTAACTAATATTAATGCTAGAGAGATGGCCAGTGCAACAACCTTCCACGTTTATGCTCTCCCGTACAGATACCGCGTGGATTAGCTTCCACCGTCACCACTTGTTTCTTGCTTGCATCGAAAAGTACATGGATCAGGCCCAGCAATTATAAATATTGCCCTGTGCATCTGCAGCAAACTACAGAAAAAGCAGGTTTCACCAGGGAAAAAAAAAATAAAAAACCCAAACCACACACACCAAAACTTACTTTTGCAGTCTTTATCCTGCCACACCTCATTTAGAGGATAGAGCAAACTGGATCTTCACTAGCGCCTCTTCAAATTATTGATAGGGACTTCTGCCATTCTTAGCACAACCATTTCTGATTATATCACTTCTATTCAAATACACATAAACAGTGCAGGAAACTCCCTCTAGTGAAAACAATCCAACACTGAGCAGCTGGTACCAGCATGAGAAGGAATACATTACCTTCCTTCAACTCAAAGCTAAAAAAGCCCAAAACATATACATGCCAGAATAAAACAGGGGTAAAAAAAACTGTACCTACAGACTGCAAAGTAAACTGGACATAAAAATTTGAAAGAATTTAGGCCTTCGGAAATACAGCTCGGTCTTGTCAGTCCTCAGATGTAAAAGACACAGGAGCCGAGCCATTCCCTTCAGTAACTTTACAGAGAGCCTGATCACTCAGCAGACCAAAGGACCGAGCAGCACACCTTGACCACTGCCAGCTTTTGTCTGTGGAACAGCGATTCTAATGCATCCGAGCCTCTTCCCAAAAATCTAACAGCCAAAACAACACAGCCCGCTCTCAATACGGATCTTCAGGCAACTGTTGTGATCCAAAATATTTGCACTTTTGAAGTCCGCTACCCACTCCCCACATAAACAAAACACCACAGTCAGAACTAGTACAGCCTAGTTACTATTCTTCTATACCCGCTGCCTGCAGGCCTCCTTATATACAAAGGTCTTCAACCAATGCCAATATGCAGTTGCCACTCTTGTTGAAATTTAAGTTCCAAGTCAACGGTTTTAGCTGAGCCAGTAAAGATAAGCTTAGGAATAGCTTTGAATAAAAACTACCTAGGCAGGGTCAGCTGCTGAACTTACACATGCTGAAACTCATAGCACTACACTGGTGAAAGAAAAGAGACTTAAATCAGAAGGAACAGCAAGACGACACATTCTAGACAAAAATGCTTCCTCCTATATACATTCAACATTCTCAAATGACATCCAAGAAAGAAAACTCGCTAGCTGGCACATGACAAGATTTTAAAAATCTAATTTGCATGCAAGAGTCTAAAGCTGTAAGAATTAAAGTTACTTTTAAGTTTTGTAAGCAATTTTGCAGTGTGCCTGAGTTTCCAGAGCAAGCTTTATTCTGATGCAAATTAGAATGTTTCACTTGTTGGTACACTAGCTACTAAAACTAGTTTACGTAGAAAACAGGATGTGAAATAGCAGCTACATCTATCAGCAAAATAGTTTTTGCTAGGTTTACAATCATAATGCATTTTGTAATTAAATTGCTAATGTTGCAGAACCCACTTCTAGTCAAATATACATGTAATTACATTAATCAATTAGCCTGTAATTGCATTTTGCTATTTTTGATTCCCCAAGACTTTGCTGGTTGTAACTGAAAAAATGATATTCCCTGGGTTTGGTTCTTGGGGGGTGGGGTGTAATATCAATACCACAACTACAAAAGAGGCTGAATAGTTTTAAATATCATTATGTTTTCCAATTAAGGTTTACCTGGAAAACAGAACACGATCTTCAGTGTACAATGTTCTGTCAGTCATAATGGGGCAGGATCTGTGTATGACTGCTCACAGTGTGAGCAACTTGAAAGAGAAAACGGACAAAAATATTACACTGCAACGTTCTAGTTTAAAATTACTTCTTCCGAGTGCAGAAATGAGCTCCTTAAACTGTTCTTTCTGCCTCAGAGGTTTCCTCCCAAATGATTACTGTAATTTCCAGGGGAGATAATCTACCAAAAACAAAGGAAATCCCATTTTTGAAATTTTATTTGCACTTTGTGCTCATCTAGTGGAAAGAATGACATTTCAGTACCTTTTCCTTCCAAACACAAATAGAAAGATCACACAATGAAGTGTATCTTGCTTCAGGATTTTGCCTAAAGATTCAAGACACATGAACAGTTATAAAAACAAAGTTATAAAATATGAGCTAAGCAGGAAGCATGTTTTGTTGTCACAGAACTGGAACCCAAAAGCAAACAGCCAGCCAGGCACCCATCATAAAACTTCCTCTCTGTAGCATGTATTTAAACAGACAACTTTTATTTTCAGTATCAGGACAGAGACGAGTCCATGAAACGAGGAACTTAAAATTCTGCCAGACCACCCCACAATGACAACTAAACCAGAGGGTTTGTTCCTCTGGGAAGTGTTTTGTTTCTAAAACTAAAGATGCAGAATATCCTACTATGAGTTATCTGATATTTCCCCAGAAGAGTCATCAAAACACACTGGTGTTGCAAGACTACAAACCCATAAACCACATTAGAATTATCACAGTTAAGTTAAAAAGAAAATTCTATTGAGTTACGAGTCTGGCACAAACACAACCAGAAATCCCTGACCTTTCCCTGAGTCACTGTCATTCTTAGAGATGCGTTACTCATCCAGATTCCACTACAGGTGCAAGTTTGTTTGATGTATGCCAAAAGGATTTTATTTTAAGCCAGGAGTAGTATCTGTTTCAAGAGCAGGTACTTCTCAACCACTTTAGCCTTGGTGTCCTGTGTAGTCTCCTGAACTCCTACTGAAATGCTTTAGAAAGGATTCCCTAAACAGAGAGCCTTAACATAAGCAGAGAACAAAGTTATACAGGGATATTTATAGAAATCTCCTTCCTCAAAACAATCAAGATTTCTATTGAGATAGCAAATTAATCTGGACAACACTCCATCCACAAAAATCCTGCTTTAAGTGATGAGCAAGGAGTAACTGTAGCTGAGAAAGTAATCCTGTGTTAAGAACTACTTTTAACGTATTTGAGTTCTACGTGCTAAGTTTGGTTTAAAATCCAGTAACTTTGGTCTTTCAGTTGATTAGGATCCAACCAAGGTGGATTTGCTGTGATTTACATTTCTCAGAACATCCTGATAAGATCAAGTGTGATCAATACCACCAACTACGAGATTGTTTTTTTTCCCCCCACCAGACACTACAAAAGAAACCTGAGTTATTACTTAAGATAGCCTACAAGTTCACATGCCTTTAGCTGTGGTTATAACTGATAAACTGCTGGTTTATCCCTTAGCATGTACACCTCTGCCTTTTGACATTTTTGGGTTTGTCTCACAGATTATTAAATTCTGCAAACAAGAGCAGTTGGGCCCTTCCCAACAGATTATCGCATTTTATTATCTTGGATAATTTTAAAATATCAATGTACCTACATAAATAAGAGACTGGAACCGCAAGTGTCTTCCACCAATTACAGAAGAATTTATTTTTTTTTCTATCAGCTGCAGACACACAGTAGTGGGTTTTGCACAGAATTGCAGGATAGTGTTTTCATCTACCATGACAGCTGAGGTTGTGTAGATACCAAATACACAGTAAATGTAGCAAGTGTTTCTTTTAATAAACTGCCACAGAAAAAAGTATGAAAAAAAATGATTCAAGCTGAGGACATATTGATGGGTACAAAATCCTTGAGGCATTATGCAGCTCACACAAGCTCATGGATCAGTATTATTGCAGCAACCAGTAGCCGTCAAAGCCAATTACCCCAGGGACTTCCCTGCGTGAGGACTGGGTTCCAGAGATGCCTTCTGTAACTGTCAGAGCCCCAACACACTGGAGAGAGGAGGCAGAGCTGAAAATCTGTCACAGCCAATTACTGCCTATGTTTTATTTATGTCAGGATACACCTGATCAGTGAACAATAAAGCCATTTTATAGAAGATGATTACCAAAACAGAATGCAAAATGGCAACAACTGGTAGAAAAATTTCATTTATAGATAAACACAGCACATGCACTTTCCACACAGGAACATATAAAATAAATTCTCGATGCTGAAGCAGTGACACACACAGGTTTTAAAGCCTTTGACTCCAAATGTAGACTGCTTTTTACAAATGCCCTGACAAATGGCTGATTTGTATATAACTCGTTTTAGGGACAGGAAGATGCAAGTCAGT